AAAGCCCTAAATTCTTCCTGATGAGGTATCGGCCCCCTGTAGTTACAGACTTCTCGTCTGGCCTTACAGCTCTGCTCACTGAGCAGGAGCCATGTGGTTTTCTGCGGAGGTCTGTGGTGTTGAATTGTGAAATCCCATTTACAAAGAATGAGCCCTCCTTGAAGATACACACACACACACACACACACACACACACCTTAAACACAACAGCCAGATTCTACAAGCCGAGAAGTGCTGCCCCATTCCAACCTGCTGTGGAGGTTATAGAGCAGAGAACAAGTCTGGCAAACTTAAACTGCGCCACGGGCTGCTTCCCACAGATGTACTGAAGCTTTTTCAGACAGAGGTCTCTGCCCAGCCCTGCTGAGTCTGACCATCCTGCCCTCAGGCCTCCGTGCCATCTGACACATCCAGAGGAATGCTGATGCTGCTATCTCTGTGTCATCAACCCCAGCCGGACCCCTGTCGTTTGTTTCTCAAAAGTTCTTCTTTTTATTTCTTTTTATGCCTTTCACCATGCAAAGTGAAATCATTTTGAGGTCTGGCTAAGTGTTGATTAAAATATTATCGTCTTTATTGGAGTGAAAATAAGCTTCAAGCAGACTTTAAGTTCAAAACCAGAGAGTGCAAGGTTTTCACTTGATAAACAGGGCATTTCAAAGAAAGCAACCCTGGGGCTTTGTAGCCAATACAAGCTTCCATTCCTGAGAATGTCTTGTACGCTGCTTGACTCCACTGTGTCCCCAAACGACCTTCCCACATAAAAACCCTGTTGAGCAATTTTGAGACTTTAATCAACTGAAAAGGCTTCTGATTTTTGTAGAGAGTGAATGAACCAGACAAGGGTCAACAATGGGGATTCATCTTAAACCTACCGGTGGTTAATCTTGTACATATACAGCTTTATTTTTTGCTGAGAATGCTTTTCATGTTTGTTTGTTTTGGGGCTGACTAACCTAATTAGGCTGCCGTTATGGCCTCAGTTTGAGATTATGATCTCAAGAGATTCTATAACAAACAAAATCTGAAGTTTGCTTAAGAAAATAAATAGATTTTTTATGTGCAGACATGAAAGTGAAGCATTTATTGAGTAAAACTTCTAAACCCTGTCCTCAGACTTGCCAGTAACTCTTGATCAGATTTCCAATAAAGACAGCTTTATTTTTTTTCGGAGGGAAAGGGACAGAAAGTGAAAGTTTTCTCTCCAGGATTAAATATATTTTCGGCACATATCAGTAATGGTGCAGTCACACCTTTTTGAAGCTGTCAAATGATGCCTCATTCCTGCTGAGAGTCGGCGTACGGGACCTTACACTGACCTTGGCAGTCTGAAGTGTGGCATCAAACAGGACCAGCTCTGGGGGTCGAAGTCCTCACTTTGATTTGTGCCATACTTAAACTCAGCGCTGTTCACGTCTGTGCTTGTGTCTAAGCAGACCGGTAGCTCAGATTAAATGACTGAGCACATCAGTGTACCGGCATCCCCTCTTCTCTGATAGATCATCTTAATGAAGTCACAATGCTGTGGCCTGTGGCAGGTGATTAATACACAAAAGTCGTTAAACCCGCTGTATAGGAGTCTGCCTCCAGTGCAGCTGCCCTTTCCTTGTATAGAGATAAATCTGAAGGCTAAGTGGACAAGGTGCTGGCAGGGTGACAAGGCAGCATGGATGTTGATATTGGAGTTTAATCAGGTTCACTCAGAAGGAGACAGGGGGTTATATGGCTACAAATGGATAGAAAGTATTTGTTTTCAGTATGAAGGCATTGATCATGCATCTTTTAATTACTGGGTAGAGTCCTCATTGTCATCTCACCCTATATGTTAGCATAGCTGCACCAATGGTTGCCATGGATCCCACTGTAGCTATGACTGCATGTATTGTGTTGGTGCTGCTGAATGTTTTTTTTTTCTGTTGTGGAGACTTGACGTCATGTGAAATCATTATCCATCAACTGTCTTTGTTAAGCATGCATGCAATGTAGGGGAGAACGCATAAAAAGCCCCACTGGTGAAGCTCCAGTTTTTTATTTATCTGCCACATTCTTAAATCAAAAACTGAAAATAGATATAATGTGCAGGGACAAGCAACACTTAAGAAAGCTCATCACTCCTGCTCGAAGCTATGTCAAGTTGATCCCTGCTGATCCAAATCGTTTGGGAAGAGAAATAGAGAATGACCCTGTTATCAAGAACTCAATGCAGCTTTTGTACCCTGTCAGAAAAATAACGTCTCTTACTTAGTTCCTCTCTTTGTTATTTCATATGTCTCTGATAAATGTTTCCATTACATAACACAATGTGCTCGACTTCTACAAAAATTCTTCAGTACAATCCCCTCCTATATCTACATACTTGTTACTGAACCTGAGAGTGACATAAGCCTCTGGCAGCTCATAATTCTTTTACCTTTTTATGTTATCTCCAATGCTGCGGGTCCGCTACCACACAATGTACTCCACTTACTCAAATTAACCATGAGCAGCCTCACTTTGACAGTCACTTAGAAGGCAAATGCCAGAGAAGGGAACCAGAGCATGCTCGCATTTGTGCAAAAAAAGAGTCAAACACACTCAGATATTTGCAGCCCGGGGCAGACAGACGTTTAGAGTAGACTGACTGATCATTTTTCTCCCCAAAGAGCGAGTTTCCAACCACAACAGACATTCCTATAGAGAGAGAAGCTCTGCTCCAGACTGAGCTTCTTTAATTCTTCATGTGCAGAGTGATGGACATGATAACTGAGCAGACCAGAGATACGTGCTGAACTTCTTTCCCTTATGTAAACAGTCTTGTGAAGCCCTGACATATGCTCCTGCTCTAAACAGGAAGCAGAGATGATTCTGGGAATCTGGCTGCTTCTTGTCAGCTCACACTTGTCTTTTATCTCCTCAATGTCAGCAGAGTTTGGAATATTGATTTCTGACAGCATTTTCTGGTATTTACCTAAATTAGCAAGTAACACTGAAAGATTGAGAGAAGATCATTTAAAGATGACTAAAGGAATGATTTATAAAAATAAAAAAAACTCCAGATATGGTATTCTGAGACCCTCAGCTTGTTTTTTTTTGCCTCCATTTAGATGAAAAATGAAAGAAAAGTTTTAAGTAATTGCTAGTTTTTTGACTCTGTAGTTGTTAAATGTGAACACGTTGCTCCAAACATTCATAACCTCAGTCAACGCATCCCTCATTCTTTCTTCCACAACTTCTTCGCTTGTTTCCGTGGTCCAATTGGCTAGAAAAATACACAGATTCATTTGTCAGGAGCGAAAACATCCCTTATATGGCTGCACACAGTTTCCATTTTCCCCCTTTATTTGGAATAGAAGAAATGAAAAGCAATCTGAAATACTGGAGGGCAAAAACCGGCTGCAACTCTTTCCAAAGTAAACTTTGAGATTCCCAAATCTACATTTCAGGCAACTTCGTGCATAGCAGAGTGGTTAGTCACTGCATAATTCACTGTATGTAAACATGGACAAACTTCTGTTTAATTTCTTACTCCAAACTCTGAAACTCTACTACCACTTTATTCCCACATATTGTTTCATGTTAATCTTGAGCCCTTAAGTTGGTAGACGTTGCTGCACAGAGGTATTTCATGTGTAGGATTGTGTGGGTATGGACGTAAATGAGGAGTAGAAAAAATGGGAATCAAAACCTCTGGGACATAAATAAGTTTGTTAAAATTACAGGGATTGTTTTGTTACTGTGTTGTAAAAACAGAGAGAACCGGTAAGTCGTTGATTTCATCAGGAGGAGGAGAACAAGTCGAAAAGAAAAGGGGCCTGAATTTTTCCCTAAGGACAGCTGATAAACAGTTTGGCAGGAAAGGCCTTGCAAATGACTGCATTCCTTGTTAACCTTGTAAGGCTATTTTTACTGCTAAAGAGCTTTTCGAGCGGGCACCTTTTGTTCGCCCTGCAGTGTGAAACAGGAAAGACCAGTTTGCATTGTGTTCCTGTGGGAGTTTGGCCGCGATCACTCCGTCTCTCATCACCGTCCAACCATCCATCCTAATGTCGAGCTCTGTTTACCCAATGCATCTTCACAGCTCCTGACAGATGAACCCAGTAACACTTCTTCACAGGTCACTGTAAAGTAATGCAAAAAGGAAGCGGAGGCACATATTTCATGATAAAGAAAAGATTGCAAGGAGTGAAACTGGAGGTCTTCCAAGGCAATGTGCAAAATCTCTGCCTAAATAATGATAAGTCCCCACTCCGCTGTGAAAGATGTTTGCTCTCTGCATGTTTGTCTTTTATTGTGTGTTCAAGGAACATTCCTCAGCTGAAAAATCCCCTCAGACTGTCCCCACGAGGTGAAAGGCCCTCGAACACACCATCTTCCTGTTGCCCGAGTCCCTTAAGTGTTTGGTAGTGTTTGAGTTGCAGCTCCTCAGGGATTCCTGGAAGTGAATGTGATCATGTCTTAAGAGGATTAAAAGGAGACCCTGGTCTTGTTCAGCCACAGGTCAACATCGCTGTGATGGTGGGAACGACATCGCCTGTCACCACTCATCTGTCAGTGTGTTAGCATGCACTGAAGTGGAAGAGTTACTGTCAGCTTTCTGATGGATAGAAAACCCCATTCCTTCAACAAATAGGCACAGCAGGCTTTCTGCTGGATAAAACTGCTTTCTTGATTTTGTTAAAGGGTGTAAAAGTTCCTTTACAAGCCTATAGGAATGAGAAAAAATCGAAAGTATAGATTTTCTTGGATTAAAAGGAACATCAATATCACTTCCAATCTACAGTATATATCAGTAATCCATAATGGTTTTAGAGAAACCCTTGGCCTGTTTCACTAAAAGCGTGGCTGGGTAACATTTCAGGAAGGAATGGGAGTCCCAAAGACTCTCTCATGCTTTTGTCATTAGTTTTCTTTGTCAACATGAAGTATTTCGAGAACCTCAGACGGCCTTGTCTCAAATTTTGTCAAACCAACCCCCCCACCAATCTTAATTTCTCATCCTCATATTTTTCTTCTTCTCTCAGAGCCTGGACGAGCTGGACGATGACGACACAGGGGAGAAGAACCGTAAGGAGGAGGAGGAGCTGGTTCAGGCCAACACTTTCCAGAATGAAGCCATGACAGCTGACCCCACCACTGGATATATGGTAAGAAATGACAGGAGGGAGGAGAATAGAGAGGCAGACTCTTAATATTTTTCTGTATGTAGATAGGTTTTGGGTGTATTTACCAAGGATGCTTCAGCCTCTAAAATGTCTCTGCAGCAGTGCCTCTGTCTCCAGTTTGTTTCGTCTGCCATGGATTCCTACAATCCTCTTCCATTTTCTCCACTTCTCTCCTGCAGTATTCTGCACAGATTGGTTTACCGATGCTGCCAAACAGAGGCACTGTTGCTCAAGCAGACACCCAGAGAGCTCAGGATCTGAGTGTGTGTGAAAATCTCCAGTGATGCAAAGCCCAAAGGTGTCTCTGCATTTCATCATCACAGTGAAATCAGTTAAAGAGAAAAAGAAAAAAGCCTAAAATGCTCTTAAAGCTACCTGGAGAGAGTCTGGGGCTGTGGGGGGTTTTTTCCATAATAATGTGCTCATTCATAAAAAGGTCACAAACTGAAGATATTTCCATTGCAGCAGCTGCTCATGTGAAATTATAGAGTGGATGATTCTGCTTGTAATAGTCCCAGTGACGCAACGAAATGTATATTGATAAAAATTAGCAAAATATCATTAGAAATTAACAAAATGATTTTTTAGCTATGATTAAGAAAAAAAGAAAAGAACACATTCAACAAAATATAGATAGATTATAGATTTCAATGCTAGCATTAGTATCTGCTTTGTCTGTCAGCTGTCTGCTTCTTAGCTGTGTTAATTAATCAATGACTGATGATGTCATCAAAATGAATCTTTGAATCTGTCAAACTTAGCTTGTGTTTGTTTGATGGAAGATGTGCAGAGCTGCTGTTCCTCCAAATAAACTAGGAAAGTAAATCTGAACGTAGAGTGAGAACATAAACGCGCGAGTAAAGATCAAAAAATGACACGCTCATGATTTGAGTCTTCTCATTTTTCTTGAGAACAGTCGTTGAAATTCAGCCGTGCAGCTCAAGTAATTTCCTCCACCACTTGAAATGCACACAGAGGGATTTTCCAAACGTGCGTGCATAAGAAAAGCATCCAGCTGTGTGACATCGACTGAATCCTCCGCATTGTATTTTTCTATGAAAGACATAATCTGATCGATGTGAACACTGCCATTTGAAAGACTTAAAACATACAGATGAAAAGTCTCTGCTGCTGAGTCAATCCTGTTGGAAGAGTTTTGTTCCAGATGGATCGGCTGTTTCGCATCAGCGGGCTTATTTTGTTTTGGGCTGGAACCGTCTAAGGCTGTTTACAAGAAGCAAGGGGCTTGTGTATGAAATATGTACACAAACACCACACAAACAGGAAGATTGTGACAGCACCTGCTGAGTTGTGGTGGCAAAAAAATGAAACTCAAAAGGTTCAGCTACAGCTGTTTCCATGCAATCTGTCGAAAGGAGAGACTCTCGGTCCATCATGTGAAACAGAATATGTCCATTCATTCCTGTTGGATATGTTTTACCATTCTCATACATGGCGGCTAACACAGACCAGATGTAGCTACGCACAGAGTAACTATTAAATGTCTCACTGTCACTCAAATATAACATATGAGACATTCAGATTCTGCTGGGGGTCCTGTGCCAGCTCGCTCATAAGGAGGCCGGCTGGGAGAAATAAAAAGAGCAGACAGCGTGGTCAGTGGATTTACAACAGAGCTGTCAGTTAGACATCTGTAGAGACAGAGCATCCCAAAAATGTGCCTCTTCTCCCCGGCCCCATTTATCAACGGGAGACAAGCAATTGCCATGTCAAAGCTGGTTATGATGTACGGCGTCCAGTCTGGCCTTGTAGCTGGAATCAAGATATCAGGAGAAAAAGTTCTTAAAAAAAGTAGATCATGTCAACTTCTGTTCAGAGCTGCAGGGCTGTTAACAATCTCCTCAGGATTCAGAGCACTTCACAACCAAAACAAGCTGCAAGTCTTGTGTCTTAGCTGCTGAAGACATTATGGAAACTCCACACAGTATCTGGCATATGAAACATTTTATCAGATGTTTCAAACTCTGTCCTTCTTTTTCCATCTGTGGGCCTGTGTTCCATTTCCGTACAGTACGCATATAGAGGCGGTGTGTGTGTGTGTGTGTATGTGTGTGTGTGCTCGTCCTCCGTGTGACAGGACACATGTATCTGATAAGAGCAGGCTCAGAGAGGCCTTCTGCAGGGCATGTGGTCCTGGTTATCAGGTCTTACCTCCCTCTGGTATGCATGTGCTACAAGGAAACCTGTTTCAGCGATCCAGGAGTCAGAACCATATGTAGCATTCCTCGGGATCATCTGCATTTAATGTGGCGCCAGGTCCAAAGCACAGCCGTTCAGGTCTCTATCCGCCTCTCTCTATCTCTCTCTCTCTCTCTCACACACACACGCACACACACACACACATGGAAAACACATTACCCTAACAGTCTCCCCCCCCAAGCCTCATTTGCATTTTTAATTATCACCTTTCAGTCCAAAAAACTGGTGCTGATGCAGACTACTTGTCTGAGCAGCAGGGACATGTTCACTACCTGTCACATTGCTTTTCCATCCAGCAGCCTCTGTGCAAACTGAAATGTATCCTGTTGCCTGAAACAATATTTGTTCACATTCACACCTCTGTTGATTTAAGATTGTACGGACCGCTGTTACATAAGCCAACTAAACCACACCAATATTTATCTTTGACAGGACTTCTACCAGCAAATGTACTTAAAGGAAGCTGAAGAAAAGCCGATAAAATGTCACGCAGAGATCTTTTAAAACATCAACATAAAAGAAGAAGGTGCCTAGAAGTTTTAGAAAATACATTTAATAATATATAATAATGTATAACGAGCGGTTTGTTATAGGAGAATAGAACCCTGACAGGGTGAGCAGGACCACTTACTGTACATTATCTCTGCTTAATTTGACACAAACAATTGATTTGGAAAAGATTGCATTGATTTTTAAATGATTTGTATCTTCCGCTAAAGAAATATTCTGTTTGACTTTGCAGCTCCGTCCATGGTGACTTTTACCTCTGTAGCTTTCTGAAAATGAGCTAACGTAGCTGTTATCACATTGAACTGAAGATTTCCACTGATAGTGAAGTGAGACAAGGTGAATCTGCACAGCATCTGACTTTTCTTTCTCCGCCTCGTCACTAAAACACCACAGTGTCTTATATCACGTTCCATTACGTCTTTATTTTCTCTTATCTTCAGGTTTTTGCATTTTTCAAACCTTTTTCACAGCTTCTGTTCTTCTATATCTTTTTTTATACAGAAATTAGATTGATGTCAAATGAACCTCACATAGATATAACAATGAGTCCATAGATCTCCAGATCTGACGTCATAAAAGCGTTCATTCTGAACCATAAGGTGTCCTTCAGCTGCAATTGGCACGGAAGGGCTGAGAGTTTGACATGACTCTCTGTAGCTGTTTACATTGGAGTTTGCAGCAAAGTCGTGTTTTGATCCTCAGCCTACAATTTATGCTTCATGTTGACATTTTGACATCCATCCTTTCAAAGCCTGAGACAGCCAGGTGAGGTTGGCATCTAAATTAAAAAGATAGATGACATTGATGAAAGCTCACAAGTTTTTCATTTACCTTTTTCAAGAAAATATTACAATTAGCGACACATTTCCATTTCCATTTTCCATTAAACCTCTCCATCCCTCGACCAAATAATTACCACAGCTATTGTTGAGATTAATTATGTGTATGAATAACACACAGCATGTATCTGGTGAAATCTCCTGCATTTTTCCACATAACAACTAATATTTAAGAAGAATGGCAATCCAAATGTCATTTGGTCTCGATTTTAATTTGTTCTTGCGTTCAAGTAGTCTACTTTTGCTAGTTAAGATATCTGGCCTGCATTTACTCGCAAAAATGCAAATAACACTTTTGTTGAGCATCTCTCTCTTTTTTTAAAATCTTTGTAAACCCCTACAGTGATTGCATATGTTCCAAGCACTACACAGTGGTGGTCAGATACACTGCAAATCTCACCTTTTCATGCACAACGTTTGTATTCCTTTAGAGATTTCTACGTTTAACGAGCTGTCGAGACATAAATCATGAATCAAATTAAACCATCGAGGAAAGATGGATGTGTTTTATCACACATTTAGTGTGCCATGGGGTGTTTCATGCGAGTGCTCGTGCACAGAAATTCACATTAAGTAGTAATCTGCCTGAGTTCAGTGATAAAGTGCTTTTGTTTTACTGTTTGATATTTGTCTCTCTGTGTTCTCAGTGGCTCTGAGCTCCACAGCGGGGCTTATGGGAGCCGTCAGCGCAGCTCGAGCATGATAAATAAAGTTGCACAGGCGTGAATTGTGTGCAGTGAATAACATGAGTTACGCTGACCTTGTCTCACAGATTCATATCCGTGATAGAAGAAGCGCAGTGGGGGAAACTATTCCAAAAAGGTGCAATTGTAATGTGGCAAATAAAGCCAATCAGATACTGTTTAAACTTAAGCTTGTTAATATGGTCTATAATATGATCGTTTTATAACTTTTAAAGCACATGTTTCCGTTTGTAAATCCTGGATGAGTAAGACCCCCTCTTAATACATCTGAAAAGAGTTTTATTATCTAGACTTGTAAATGTCAGTATGTACATTCAGCACAGTAATGGAAGCCACTTATCGTGTAGTGACTGTACCACTCATGACTGACGCCAGCCTGCTGTCACTCACATCTGCAGTCCCGGTAGGATTCAGAACGTGGCTCCAAAGTCAGTCAAGTTAAGCGACAACTTAGGCAGAGCGATGATGAAACATTTGAGAGAATAGATATCAAGGCAGCAGAGTCGTTAAAGAACTGTCAAGCAGCCAAGAAATAAGATGTTACAGATTTTGCGTGCCCAAAAAGACCTTTGTCTTAAAAGCACTTCAGTCTGGATGTAGAAGGACTTCAGTGGTTGTGGAGTCTTATTTGACGCATGGATGTAATTTTCTCTTCATATATCTGCAGAGAGGTGGGGCAGCTGTCTCAGGAGGACTTGTTTAAACAGTCTTAGAGGAAATAATAATGCACAGATAATAAAGTAGCATGAGATTCAGACAAAGAGTTAGTGATAATAAACAGACTAGATGTTGTGCTTTTGTTTATACATCATTGTTTGGGTCTTTCACATTCGACGACACTGAAGGGGGTCGTCTTTCAATAAGGGCCAAATTATGCTAAGTAATATCTGTAATGTATTATTATTTTTACAATGTCATCGTGCTGTCAATAATGAAACTAAGGACACTGAAAGTGCACTTCAGAAGGTCCAGCAACAATGATGTTAATCTGGAAGCTTCTAAAACAGTAAAATCATGTTGGGACATTTTTGGTCCTAGCTGAAGCATCGTTATCTCAGATGTGCTTCTGTCATTTTCCTCTCGATTGGAAATATTTAACTTCTATCTGTGAGAAGAAGAATGCATTAAATGACCGTTAACATGAAGACAAACGGTAACCGCTTGGATTGAAATCACATCGTAAACATGGCGGCTTCTTATTCTAAAGTTTTGAATTGTCTCTTCCAGTGGCCGAAGAACGTCTTAACAAACAGGATTTTACTCAAGCTATTACAATAAGGTGTAGAAAAAAAATGACCTATGCTAGGCTGTGAAAGCATATGATTAAAACCCTGTTGCTACAGCTTTAGTCTATTCTTTACGTGGTCATGTAAGAGCCATTTCTGCTCTTTTGTTTTGACTGCACACATCACATTATGCAAAGAAGGATTGGCACAGTCTCACAGGCTCTGCTGACCGCTATGACCTCACATCATACTGTCGCTTTGACTCATATTTCAATCCTTTTATACCTCAGAAAACAATCAATCCAGTCCACTGAACCTTTGACAGTAAGCCAACAGACTTTGAATATGATTCTCGCTCCTGTTTTTATAAAACAGATGTATTAAAATCATCTGGGGAAATCTGAACTGTATTTTCTTATTTAGTGTGGTTCCTGATGGAGAATGACAGACTGCATTTCCAGGTCAATAGTTTATTCAACAGATCCTGCTGGTTTATTTAAGTTACAATAGACTGTGAAAGCCTTAGAGCAAAAACGCATTTGCATTTGGACAGCTTTTTTTATTCTACAGCTGGAGTCTGTGTCTGAGCGAATGCTGGTCTCCAGCTGCCTTAAAAACTATAAGCATCATATCACAACAAGAAATGGTTTGAGCCATCACACCGTCTTTCATTTTGTTATCTAATTCTGTTATTGTTGTTATGTAATTCTTTTCTTCTTCTTCTAATTCAACCGTGACGCTTTAAACCAGAGGTTAATTATGCAAGTGGTTAACCACAACATGCCCACCGCTAGAGGAGACTGCACTCTTGACTGTCCTCCGTCTTAGTAAATCTATCCAGGCCCGAGCCGGGGAAGAGATGAAGGCCGGGGTTATATCCAGCGGTAATAAATGATGTCACTGACACAGAGAGGCATGATGCATGCGTAGATTCAGACAAAGCGTTTTCCCCTCACCCTCTAAGACCAGGTTCTGACTGATAGATGGTAGCAGAGCCAAGGTTTCTCCATCATACTCGGGACCCTTCACTGCACAAGACCTTAGGAGAGAGAAGATACGTATCCATCTCACACAAAAACAAAAAAAACCTCATATTTCCAGGGCAGCTATTTTACCGAGGGCGGCTTTATTGGAGCATCACCGCTGTATAGATCTAAGCAACCTTTAGATCATACCATAATGGAAAAAGAAGATAAACATTCACCTCCACGTTGCGAAACAAGATTGTCGGATACAACTTGGGGCTATAGGGCTCCTGCTGAACTATTAAATGCAACAGAGCTCATCTATATATCAGCCCAGCTTGTGAGATTCACAAACGCTCGTACACAACCTGAAGGCTTTCTATAAATGCTGCTCCTGATGAATTTTTCTTATCCAGCCAATGAGATTCCGTGATTTTTTTTCATTTCTTTTTGGGACCAACACAACCCAAGGCACATGGACACAACAGATGATACCCCAAATCTCGCTCTGATGTCTATCTTCTTGAATTTATTCCTCTCCTTTTTTTTTTTTTTTCAGGAGACCCCCAGATCTGGGAGCGGCCGCCACAAGAGGTGAGACTCATTTTTATTATCCTCACACTGAGAGTTTATCTGCTTTCACATCACTAGTAATGTGTCTTGTTAAGTAACAGAGGCCTGGACGAGAAACAGAAGTTTATGTCATTAATTACAAGAACAAAAACACAACGATATGCACCAAGGAGCACTTTCCATCACTGTCTATTCCCCCACTCAGGATTGCTCTATCTCTTACTTTCTGTCTGAAGAAAGAACAGCATTTTTGAGCAGACTCCATCTGGGCCCGAGACATTTTACTGTTGTTGCAGGCTGGGAGTGTTGAGAGGTAATCGTTGGCTTTCAAAGGTTTGGAGATGAAATGTGCAGCTCTGTCTATCAACAGGCCTCTAAACTTTCAAGACAACCTCCTAAAACTGTTTGGAAAGATGTCTCCTTCTCGTTTATTGCAGAAGTTTAGTCACAAAGCACGTTGGTATCATTTTCCTAGGGATGGGAATTTTCAGGACTTTTATCATTCAAGTAGCCTCATTACCTTATGATATGTATATTAGCCTGCTATTTACTCAAACACTTCCTGTCCACAAGGTTGTAGTAACAACCCCTCTACTGCCCGGTTGTGTTGTCCCAACACTACATTAGTATCATTTTGCCTTAAGCCCCTTTCACTTTCCCAATGACCGAATAAATGAATGTAGGTCATCTTGGATAGTTCAGAGGCCCTCGGAGATGGGAGAATTCAAAACCAAAACACGGCCATTAAAAAGCTTGAAAACTCGGCTGCCATTAAGATAGAACACAAGGGACTGGCATTGATCTGCTACACTCTGATTGGTCGCTACCAATCAAATGTACTTTGAAATATTATGTCTTTAAATGAATACTTGGTCGAACTTTTCTTGGTTTTTAGAGCAAAAAGGATTTATTGTGGACAGATCGGACGTTGAAATATTTGAGTACTGTGTGTTGATTGGTGTGTGAGGTGACACTTTGTGTTTGTAAGAGACGTTGTTATACCTGTCTGTGCTTTCTCCTTCCCACCTGCTGAGGCTCCCAAGAGTGTTTTATTGGCTCGGCTCGGCTCTTCTCCCAGACCTCCCGCTGCAGGGTGCTAATGGGCCGCAGTGGGATATTTAGTATGGAGGTCATGGTTGTTTAGGCTTAGCTTCAACACCTGCTGAGTACTTGTGTTTGTGTGTGCCAACATTCAGATATCTACTGAAAAAAGATGACAAGCGTTGACTTAAACAAGGCATTTCTGTGTTCTGCTTTTCTGGGCATCATGGTGAGGGGGGTGTATTTGTTGTTGGTCTGCTTTGTAATGTATACCTGTGTATGATTGTGTGTTAGCATTCTGCATGTGTACGTGTGTGTGTGCTCGTACTGATAAAGGACAAGTGGCCGTTAGAGCCACAATGAGAGAGACAAATGAAATGCACTTTATCTTGGCGTGGGCGATCGCCAAGGAGAGCGTTTCAAGGACTCCCTCTTCATCAAAAGTGATGGCCGCTCTAACGTTTGCCTCTTTGTATAAGTGAGCGAAATAAGCTGTTGGTCCTGTAAATGTCATCGTACAAATAACGCCTCTGCTTGTGTATGAGAACTGGAGCCTCAACAGAGAAAAGAAGACAGTCTGAGCTGGGTGAAACAGAGATTTAACTCAGAAATATGTGGATGAAATTTATCATAACACAACCAATCCCATGTCTACTATGTCCCTTTTCTTTAAGCCCTCATCCTGCTTTAAGTGTTCTGCAAGGTCATGTGAAAGTGAACACCTCGGTATACTTTATTTATCAAAATGTGCATTTTATTGCACACTTTTTGCTAATCAATCAATCAGCAAGAGCTTTTTTTTTTTCAGTAGAGTTTCACTGGATTTGTAGCTAGAATGATACATCTTTACTGTCTTTTCCTTCTTTACATATTTCTGCATCATTTCCCAAAAAACTGCAGTATGATGTTTTCTATTCAGTCAAATCTAAGAAAGCCAAAGAAGTTTTTAATCATACAGCCCTTTGCTGTCTTAATTCTTAGATTTGGAAGGACCTGCTTTGTAAACTTGTCTATATTGGGACCATCACATTTGGCAGATCCTAAAAAATAGTACAGATGGCACAAAGGAGTAATGTTTGTCTTTTGTCTTGCCAGCAGCTTTCCTGTTTGTCTCAGCTGTAGAAATATGCAGACAGCCTCCTACAGAAAATTCAGCACAGTCTCAAGACTCATTTTATTTCCAGTGAGATTCTATAAACAACAATCTGCCATGTTTTTTGTGGGGCAGTTACAGAACTCATTCTACGATTCTAAATATTTAATAAATGAATATTTATTGAAAGAAGGTCAGTCAGCAAATAATCTCTACCTGAATATTCTTCCCCAGCTGCCCCAGAATCCGTCACTAAGCAGCAAAGAAGTAAAGAGGAGATAAGGTTAATGTTCTCCAAGAGCTGCGAACAAAAACCTTGACAACACCCCCCCACCACCACCACCACCATGCCCCCCCCCCCACCCGATATAAGAACAGCTTCTGCCATTCTTGAGCCTATTTGAAGTTGTAATATGTAAATTGTGTCTAAATCAGAATCCTTTTTGCACTAAGTTGCAAACCCTTGGCAGACCTTTTTTCTCCATTAACAGCATAAAAGGCAGAGGCCTGTTAATAATGCATGCTTAATTAGAAAGGGCAAAAACGCAGAAGATATTCCCACCTGTTTTTCTGATGATGGATGTGTCATCCCATTGAAGTTTAATAAAGTGGCAATGAGTCATACCTTCAAACAGTCTTAGTGTTAATACAATACTGGACACTTTGCACTGTGGAAACCTGCACAGTATTCACAGCTTTTACTACCTTTTTCTATCATCATGACTATTTGAAGTAAAAAAAAAAAAAAAAGAAACTTTTATTTTGGTAACTAAGTTCTGTTTTCTTTTCTTGCGTTTGTTGCAGCTCTGCAGGGCCGGGGTCTGAAGAAGAGGTGAGTAGGAACAGCAGACAACGACACCACCGTCACGCCAGAGATGATGGAGCTGCAGCAACGTGGAGTTTGGAGAACAGGATGGAGGAGCTGGAGAAGGTGTGTCTTCTGACCATTGATCGTATATTAATAAGGACAGTGTGTCTCTGTCTCATTGGTTTTTACATATGTGAAGCCAAACTACCTCAGTGATGGACACAGACATATTGCGCTGCTGACACAATTTGTACATCAAATGTCAAAGATCCCTCAGGTCGGTACAGTCCACAGCACACCTGATTCTTGTGTAGGATTGGAGGAGATACACAAGGTTTTAGAAAGTTCAATGACTACTTTTTATTACGCCCTCTCTCCTATTTTTCCTCTTTGCTGGAGTTGGTTTTTCTTCCTCTATAATTGTTTGTGTAACCAGAATTAAATCTGCTATCACAAACAAACCCACCCAATGCTCCTGCAGTTTGTACGAGTCCATCCTAAACTTTTTTTGTCTGACTGAAAGCCTCTATCAGAGGCACTTCTGTTTAAATGAATTTCCACTTTCAGCAGCCATCCCAGGTTTTGATTTTCTGTCTGGATTCTGTGTCTCAACTATGTTCAAAATTCTCCTCCTTGTTGAAGAGATGACCTTTTACACCGCAGATATGCCTTTTACCTCCCACGCCGTGCCCATCAGACACTCAAGCTCTCAAAGTGAAAAATTCAGCTCGGAACAAATGTCACTTGGGTTGCTTTCAAAAAGAGGTTTTTAAAGTAAGTACTTCTGTGACCTCGGTGACTTTCTGTGCGAGGTGTTTTTCTGAGTCAAATGGCTTGAGACACTTTAAAAAATCAAATTTCAAACACTTTCACTTGCTCGAGGAACAGTTCTGTTTACACAAGATTTCTTTCTGCAGGGTGCAACTTCAGATATTACTGAAAAACCTTCCAAATTACAGAGATGTATTCCCCGTTTGTTTGCTATAAACATATATATCTCTCACTGAAGAAAACGTTTTTGTTCAAAGCCTGGCTGAATCTTACCCAAACCCAGAATGACTACCTGCTTGTTCGGTTTCCATGGAAACACTTTACTGCTGCTCTGCATAGAAAAGTGAAAGTAGAAATCCTGGTCTTATCATCTTTTCAGTCATGTACTCAAACAGCAGGTTCAACATTCATGCATGGTGAATGATTGAGATAAAGTGAGGGAGGAACATCATCCATTGATTTCTCAGAAGTTGTTGGAGGAGGCAGACAATAACACACTGTCTTTAAACCAAGTTCAATTTGAAAGAAACACAAAGACTCTTTTAATGCATTGTTCACTGACAGTTTGTATTGTGTTTTATAACTGCAGCGTCTGGTGAGTTAGGAAAAAGAATAATGATGTCCAACTGTCATATCGCAGAGATTCAATGCTTCCTATTGATTAAATCTAAACAGCTGTTAAAAAAAAGGAAGTGAAATGAGTTTTCAATAAAGAAGGGGAATTACTTTTTAATTTAATGAATTAGTTTTTCTTTTCACTTTGGTTGAAAATCTGCATTTATCAAATATCACCTAAACTAACAGCTTTTTTTTTGGATGTTTGTTAACTTAAATACAAATGTCATGCCGTTCTCATCTTGTAAATGATTCATGATTAACATAATCATGTTGTTCTTCATGCGTGTGTGTTTTTTTTAGGAGCTGGCCAGAGAGCGTCAGGAGAACGCCCGGTTGCTAAAAGCCCACCAGGACAAAGATGACCTCATCGGGAAGCTGAAAGAGGAAATTGACTTGCTGAACACAGTAAGTCCAGCCTGCGTGATTTTCAGCTCTGATGTTTTTTTGATGTGTTTTCATGTGTGGGAGGCGTGAGAGGGTTGCAAAATCATCATCTGGCATTCAAGTGGAGTTGTTTTTAATAGCTATGTATAATTCTAAAATGTTTTTTTTTTGTTGTAGTCCATTAGGATGTAGAACCCAGCAAACCTCTATTTTTGTTTTTACACCCTTGTTACAGTTAAGAAGCAAATATTAGACTCAGAGGCATTTTTAACACACAACAAAATTCACAAGTAGTTTGTTGACAACTGAGCCGGTGACATTAATGTTCATTGTTTGTTTATTTCAACAAACACAATAACTCCTACCATGATTTTGTGTCTGAAAGACATTGTGGAGGGGAAATCTTTTTTGTGATTTTTGGGGGTTTTAAGTTCAACTCTGAGGGGGTCCTCGTCTCAGAAGTTTTGGGACCGATTGTCAAAAAAAGCAGAAGAGAAAGCGATCAATAGCAAAGAAAGTGTTCAGTGACGACTGCGAACACAACAATCTTTATCTTTTCATCCTAGTCTCTAACTCTTTACTTTTCATCTCTTTTAACGATACACTTCAGTTGAAGTTGACCGAGTCAAGCTTCCGGTGTTCAAAAACCCTCTAGATCAAACTGCAAAGTGAGTTTCAACCTCATGCTTAATCATTCATAAAGCATTACTCATTCAGCAAATGAACCACAAGCCAATGTCAATGATCACCAAATGATGACCTCTTCGTCCAATCAGTGTGGAATTGTCAGACCCCCTCTGGGATATGAAAACGACTACAATCAGTCACAGATCAGATTAAAGGCTTTGTTCAAACCTGAAACAAATGAATGAGCTTTCCATGTTAACTATGCACGGCTGATTACAGTTAGACAAAAGCATCCATAATCACCACGATGGAGAGTAAATACAGCTAGATGGCAGGGATATTTCACCTGCTCGACCTCGTCTGCCATCTGCAGAGAGGCTGAATGAGTTAAAGCTCCTGTGAGGAACTTTAGGTTTGTGTCGATTTTGGCGACCTCTTATGGATGAAGCAGTGAGTCTTATCGCTTTGCTGATTCTGTCCTGTACCTGTGTAGGTAGTGCTTTTCAACCAACATTCAATAAATCACTTATCAGGAATCTTTGCTGAGGTAAATGTAATATGTGTATATAAATGTAAGCTGCAAAAAGGCGTCATGAAGCCTAGTTACAGTTTGACAGACTTAGGGAAAGATTGTGGTTGGGGGTTACAAAACATGCACCCTGTTGGGGTTGAAAACATGAGAAAGTGGAAGCAAATCGGAGCATTTTGTGACGGTCCAAAATCAAACTTCTTAGGATGAGTAGATGACACCAGACTACACACGGACATGTATTTGTAGCGGACTAGTTACTTCCATTTGACAGTGACATCACTGCGTAATCCTTGATGGTGACAATGCAGACAGGCGATATGTTCACCTACAGGGGAAGCTACATGCTAAAATGACCAACCAACAGCTAACCGCAGAACATACAGGAGGGAAGAGGTGTGCAAGTCAAGAGAAAAGACAAAAGATGTTAGATCCTAGAGTAGAGGAAAATGGGAGAGTTGAGCCACCTGCTGAAATGAAGTTATAATAAATCTAAAACGTGGAAAAGCTCAGATGTAGCAAGCTGCTTTTGTTGTGTTGCTGTAGCTTAGCGTTGCAATATTTCTTCTGTGAGTAGCTTTGGTGTAGTGAAGCTTGGTTGGTTTAATTTGGGGAAGATTAAGCCCCAGTGAACCTTGCTGCATGAGTGACCGGGGTGCACAAGACAGTTTCACTAGCACGCATGTTTTGCCTTCTTCACCTGACTGAGACACAGGTGGTACAGTTTTTTTTACTTGGTAAAAGTACATTTGGATATTTGTCCTCGACTGCCTGTCGATGGGATGCACATTCTGGGGAATGCTTTGGCTGGGTAATGTGTCTTTTGCTGAAGAAAAGCCTCTGACTGTTGTAACCCAGATGCAATTTGTCTTGCAGAAACATGAAGTTGTTACAGAGTTTCCTGAGGTGGCACCTGTCTGTCCTGATGAAATGAATCCTTTTTGCCAGACATCTCAGAAGGATACGCCTGATACCGTTCTCCCACCTGATTTGGGAGCACTTTTTGATGGGGAGGCATCAGAAACTCTTGATACCACTGTGAGGAATTGTCATGAAAGTTATGAACCAGAACTGAAAGATTTGGTAGCTCATGAAACATGAAGTTCACCTCTAGATTTTGCTCCAGTGTTTGAAAATGTGGATGTGGTTCTGTGTACCAAGCCAGTGCTTTCTGCACTAAACAGTGATCAGTCTTTTCAGATGTGTGGTAATGATTAAAGGTAGAAACTGCAGTGGTGTTAGTTCAAGCAAGAAAGTTAAGCATATATTGGGTTTGGTAAAATATGTATGTAATTGCTTAAGTTTGGTTAACTAGCTTGGTTTGCCCTCCTAGGACAAGGTCCGTCTTCCTCCTCTCAATGTGGCCAGGGTTCACAGTTCAGAGGCTTCTCCTGTAAGCTGGGTGTGCTTTATTTTCAGCAGGCAGAGTGTAACCTACCTGAACCCTCTGAGCTTTCATCTTCTTTTTACCCACCGACTGTCAACAATATCTTCACAACTTGCAGCCCTTATTTTGTGGGGTCAGCGCAGAAGGCTGCTGTTGAAATACATCTCTGTTTTTTTGGCATCTCATAAGGGAAATGCAGCAGGAAGGGAAACATCAGAAAGACTTTTCATGTCTCAAAGATTCTAAAAGAGAAAAGAGATCTCGGATCTCCCTCTGTGAAGCCAATCAAATCGAAACAAGAAAACAAGCTCTGCTGAAAAATACAACAGTTAGAGATGTGTACATTTTAAGCAACAAGTCTAATAAATGTTGCTTGGTTATTATCCTGGCACTTCAATCATTGTGAGACACAACATATCTTCAAATACTGAGAGTGCAATATTGCAGGCGACATCTCTGTGATAGCATCGCACAAACAGGAAGCTGGTCATAAGAGAGAGCCTTTATGTAAGGACTTTTGACAGTGATATCCATCAGAAATGTCCCAGAACAGCTTCTGCAAGGCCTGATGGGAACAAAGGGAGATAAGACTGATCCACTGTGCTGTCTCCGCAGATTGAACCCTCGGTCGGTGAAGTTTATTGAGTAGAGAGAGAAAAGATAAAGCTTTGCTGTGTGACATTTATTTAGTTCTTGACAATACAGTTCTGTAGAGCACTTACTGTTTATACCTGTTAACACATAATGCATTCATGATATATTAAAAAAGCCTTACAGCACAAACTAATAGCTGACCTGTAACAGTTCGTCAAGAGGCTTAAACCCCGCCTCAGCTCCGTCTCTCAGCTTTTCGCTAGATTGACTGAAAGTTAGACTGAGACAGCATTTCCTTTTCCAACATGGCGACCTCCATAGATGGGACTCCAAAGCCCCCTGCAGGAACAGATGGCTGACGTCACTCAGGCGTTGTCCATTAATATTCAGTCTATGGTCTTGCTTTGAGCATCTTCCTGCTGAATGCAAAAACGATGCTTTAAGACCAGTTCAGACAACCAAAAGAGTTTGCAGTGAGATGACTAAACAAACCATTAAGCTCCATTAAGCTAATGGGAGATGCTGATTCAGGGAAAGAGTTGCTGAAGGCTCAACATATTGATTGTAGCTTCTAACATCAGAGTTAACTTTTCACTCTTATAGTGCAGAAGAGACAAACTGCTGTTAGGAAACTCATGTCGACTTACTTCCACTTTCACCTTTAAACGTAGTTTGGTTCAGTCTCAGGAGCCGTGCCATCATGACCACTGATGTGGGAAACCGAGAATAGGGGGTCGTCCTTTTGAAGAGGCGGTGCTGTTGCAACTGAGAGTCTCTCTCATTTCCAGCTAATTGAAGCTGTTTATGTCTAATTTGCTGCCAGCGAGGCAGCTCGGCTGCAGGGGGAAACTCTGCAGAAAGTAATGCCGGCTTTAACTCTCAGACTTAACACTCCAACCTGACTGGGCCCTCAAAGGTATAGAGGCAGGATTGTGAATATTCATGTGTCTGAATGTGTCCAGAAAGTGTAACCTTTAGGGTTGTCTGTGTTTACCCTCCTCTACAGGACCTGGATGACATTGAAGACGAGAACGAGCAACTCAAACAGGAGAACAAGACTCTGCTGAAAGTGGTCGGTCAGCTGACGAGGTAGAACTGCACCCCATTGGACCTGACACAAACATCACAGATGAAATGGAGCAACTCTTATCTGTCCTTTCTCCTGACCTCCTGCCCTTGGTCTCGACCTTTTATCTGTTATATTCTGTCTAAGGAGTCTTCCTCAGCCTCTCAGCCGATTCCATTAGTTGTGAGAGCTGAGCAAACTAGGGGCTTTTGTTTTCCTGTCCTGACACTCTCATGAGGACTATCTGTCATATCCATATTTAATGTAAATGTATTGTACATAGGCCATTAAGATTGTTAATTTTTAGATTTTTTTTTTTTTTTGGTAAGGTCTTAAAAAGCAAAAGTCAAACGAATGTATGTGCAGCACAAACGAGCACACAAAGCCTTTTGAAAACATGTTTAGAGGTTGACAAAAATCTATATTTTTCCTGTTCAGATTGGAACCCTTCCAGGTCAATTGAATAACAAAATTGCAGTGTTGCAATGATAGAAGTTTGTCTGAGTGCAGTTCATTCAGCGATGGAGCTTCTGTCGAGGAACACTTGGACTAAATTCGACCTAGTTACTTTTTCATTACCAACAGCCAAAGTGTGTAAGACGTGCAATTTTATTTGTCCAAAAAAAACAAACGCTTAAAGCCTGGTGCTTTAATAATTAACAGTAGTGCCAGATTTCTTTCCTCTCATCATTTCTTGGTACATTTGCAGCCCAATAAGGGCATCTACAAACCCGGATGAAGAAAATTCCATGATTATTTTTTCGGATGTAAAACTTTCTACCAAGTACATGCTTTATGCATTTCAATGAAATGTTGCAGGGTCAACCCCTTTTCCTAGAATATACATATGGATCCTATTTTTAAAAGCATTTTTCTTCCTGTAATTTGTTTACAAGTTATCTCTTTGTTATATGTGATAGATGTTTTAGCTGCTCTGTTTATGGCATCTAAGATGTGTGGAGTGAGCTACAGTGCATTTTTTTTTGTATGACAACCAAAATGAACTGAAGGAACATACTTTTTGAAATGCATCTCTTTTTGTTTACTCAAGGGAACAGGCTCACCTGGGTAATTTCCATACTAAAATCTTTTTATCTCACTAAGGAGCTTTTTCATTAAGCTCCTCCTCTATGGCGATTAATCGATAGGTTTTAGACGTACAATAGATAATTCAGCTTCTACATTCATGCTCACATTTTGGGGTAAAGATCATCCACTTGATGGCAGACACCACAAACCCATCTCTCTTTCCATGACATTATGCATGTACAGAAGATTAAGACATTTAATAAAAGTTTGATTATCTCTCTCCTCAGTCGACTCGCTCGTGTTCATTAAGACTAATTTGCTGTGATGATGCTGTGCCACTGAGGCAGTAATGCAATGTGACGGTGGCGGGGGGTTCAGATCCTCTGCCGGGTGCTCTGAACACAAACACACACTCCCAATCATGATGATTCAACATGTCAATCAACACCTTACTGTATACAGCCACCACCCTGGCACATAAAAAACAAAAGAAACCTCCTTCCACCTCGCAGATCTTCTATTACACCGTTGAAACACGTCAATCTTCTTAAATAGGAAACATAACCGGAGCAATGTCACCTACATTTTCAGATAATGACCTCTTTCAGCTGATCTGTGCTGCTTGAGGCTCGCTCCATAATCCCTATTTGCATTTTTATGAAAAGTTGTCATTCTTCCTGGCAACAGAGGTCCAAGACAATCACGATATAATAAGTAAAGAGTTTGCTGCCAAATGTGACAAACCAGACATGAAAGGGCAACATAATATCCAGATTTAATACGAAGACTGCCTTGCCAAATTGCTAATGCCAAATATTTGTTTTCTTTGTCTTTGTCAGAGCAAACATACTCCCTTCCTGTCAAAATCAATTCAATGCACAACTTAATCAATGTTTGGCGTTTATGTACCAACAAAATGCTTCATACAGCTTGTAATGAAAATCCTTTGTCTAATCTGGTTTGCTTGTTTACCTCTACAAAAGTCCTATTAGATCCTGAAAGGTTGATAGTGCGGACAGAGATGAGAGGCAGGCCTTATCTTGTCCTTGTAGAAACCCAGCCATATTTCATTATCGGTTGGTTTCATGCTCTCGGTTCTACGGCCAATCTCCTCAATCTCCAGGGTCTCTGGTACAGGGAAGCACTCATCCACGCCGAGGATGGCGGGGGTCAGGATGCCAGAGAGAGCCAGAACGAGTGGATGGAACGAGACCGGACATATTTGTGCAATTTCCTCTGCCAATTTCTTCTGCTCCACTTTCTCACAACAGCCTGAAAATGACTTCTACCTACTCATGCACCTTTTATACCTCATTATCTCAAACCAAGTGATACCTGAGGTGACGCTTTAAAGCTGGGATTCAAATTGAATCGTCCTTGGTGTTGGGAAATGATTGGGCTCAGACCTTCGAACTCAATCTGATGTCACACAGTACTTGCAGCAGAAGGCCCAATCTCTCGCTGTCACTTTCAAGTTTGGGAGATTTTTCCGGCGCTCCTCCATGAAAGTGCTTTTTGAAGTCACGCTGTGCTGCCAGGCGCTCTCTGCTGACAAACAGCAACATGTTTGGAGCTAGACCTGAAAAAAAACAAGACTTCAGGTGCACTTCTCTGAATACCTGGACCACATGCAGAGCTGCCCTTTGTTGAAATGTTCTGTAAAAGTCAATGTAATTCTGATACAGTTCACAAACAGAGAGGAATCAACTAATGGCGGTTCAGAGGGTGTGACATTTAAAGAAAATGGCAGACTTTCACTTCTTCAGCTCAGAATAGTGGGAAAGTTTTTTTTGGTTTTGTTGTCTGTTTTAGCTTCGCCTCACAGCAGGGAATATGAAGGTAAACAAGGAGGGGAAATAACATTTGAAGCAGTTAACACTACATATTCAAAGAGTTTTAACAATGTGAAACAGTTTGGTAACATAAAAGTTTGTCAAAATCTGGTCATTTCAGTCTTTAAAGTGGTTGTCATGCTTTTTAGTTTTTGTTCTAACCCTAACCCTTTTTCCAATATATAAAATAGTTGTGAAGTATGATATACTTAACAAAAATCCAACCTGCCACCACAAATGAATGTTTGGTACCATTATGAAGTAGTACTCCTCTTTTGTGTCCAACTTTTGCAGCACAAGTGACCTAAAAGTACAAAAAACGTTTATATAGATACAACTGGGTTTTGGATGTTCTTGGATTCCCCTTTGGCTGATCAGTGCTCTGTCCATGAGTCCTGTGCCCAGAGGAAAACTTTGTGTTATTTACATGATTATCTTTTCACCCTGTCATCTCAAATCTCTAATCTCTGAGGGACCTTAAACGTTGCATAAAAGCCTTCATCACCTTGAGTCTCCATTCTGTGGAGACAAACAAATCTACATCCATGGACATAAGTGTGATTAGCTGGGGCGTTGTATTCAGTTTTAGTCATGGCAACCCATCCACAGCTGCACGACTGGCCTGTTTCTTTTGCTCACACACACATACACAATTCTCCACACACACACACACAATGCAGAGGGTTGAACCCTCTATGCCCAGCAGAAGCAGAGGATGACTGACTTGAGTGGCTTGCGCCTCCGTTGGGAATTAAGTCATGTGTTTTTTTTTTTTTTTTTTGAAGAGCTCTTCCTCTTGGACCCCCGGGGGTTGTCATGGCAACAGGATACGACATGTGTATGTATCCCAATCAATCTTGTAAAAAAAAAAAAAAGCATGTCTGGTAGTCCAGTCGCATCCATCTAAGAGGTTTGACACATACAGAACACGTATAGAAGCATCACACTGTGCATGAAATGCCAAAGTATTGACTGCCAGATAGATGACTCACACTTACTATAAATGTGATGACAAAGTGCTGCTCTACATCTGCTACCCGCAGGCTTTTAATGGTTTTCAGAGAGATTATTGATGCTTTATCTTTGTTATGCATCACTGGCAACATTTAATTGAGCTGAAAGCTGATAAACAACATTTTTGCTTCAGAGGCAAAGAAGAAGATGGAGAGTTTCTTGTTTCAGATTCCTTCCTATTTCCCGCCAGTGGGTGGCAGTGCTGGAACCCATCAGTAGGTAGTATATTGTATCTCTATGAGGTCATTTTTACAGGCTTATGTGCTCAGTGATCCTTGATCCTTGATGTCAAGCTTTGTTGGTGGAACACCCTCAATGTATCAAATGTTGTATATAAGTGTTTATCTTCTGGAACAACATTAATGAAAAAATCCTTACTTTTTAAGTTTTGGGGTCATAATATTTGGTATTCCAACTTTTTACAAATAAAAATAGGGGAAGTTTAAAATGCTTTCCTGAGAAACCTTTAAATACTGTAGGTAAAAAATGCCACCAACTGCCTACAGGTGAATACTCCGGCGTCCAATGGATTGTTTGCGTTGTCTTTTGGCTGTTTTTGTTCCGTTATTAAACTTTAAAAAGCCCCCAAAATTCTATTTGAATTCCAGATTGTTACACTGGAAAAATGTCCAAGGAGATTGAGTAGTTACACAAGGCACTATAAGCAGAGGTAAGTATTTGCATTCAGTCCCAAATCCACCTGTTAACAGGTTGTGTTTCATATTACATTTGCACAAGTTCACTGCTTGTTAGCATGATTCACTTGATGTATAAAGGTTTGGAATTGTTGCTATAACAGCCTTCACACACTCTTAGTAGCTGCATACCTTTATGATCGTCTCCTGTGTCTTGTTAATGATACACTTGTTATTGGCTATGCTAATGAGGTTGCGCACACTTAAAAAAAGAAGGCTGTTAGCTCATTTCAGTTGTCGCAATTTGCATCATTTTTTCCTCATTCACTCATCCATTTTAATAAGCCCCAACATCCGAAGAGGTAGAGCGAGCATGTGAATTTGAATGTTGTTGATGATGACTCACAAAGTCCATGCCAAGCAGAATAGGAGGCGGCTCTAGGGAGCACCAACAGCCTCTGAAGGTCACTCTATTTTGTTACCATGACAGTAGCGGCCTCCCTCTGAGAAGTTGTTGTTGTCGCTGTTGTTGTTGTTGTTGTTGTTGCTGCGTAGAGTGATTCTAGAAAGGGAGGGTAGGGGGGGGTAGGGGGGTGGGGAGGGCCGGCCTTTTGGGATGTGTGCAAAAACAACTACTGCTCAATATGTACACACACACACACAAACATGTGCTTCCCCTCCCCGTCGCCTCCCTCCTCCTCCTCCTCCTTATCCTCATCAGCACTACTAAGTCAGCAGGGGAGAAGCAGAGGTACATGTTCAGCCCTGAGCACAGCCTCACTTTAAAGCCTTCCCCCAGGAGAGGACGCACTGTACAAACAGCAACAAGCCAGCTCTCTGAGAATCGAATAAAATAATCTTTCTGGTGAATCCTGGTTGTGCGGAACCAAAGTGGGCGGAGTTTCATCATTCTTTCCTTTCTGTATAACGTACAGAGAGTGTGAAAAGACTATGTACAGATGGATTACACCGACACGTACACTAATCATCCATCTGTCATCTACAATCACTCTGAAAAATGGCTGTCAACCGCTATAAACGTAGCCGTCTCTGTCCTCTTTGTCCTTCCATTCATGCGTCAGCCATCACCACCCACAGCCACCCGCCCGCCATATCTATGGAAAACGTGCGTTTCCTGACAGCTCGCAGGTGGTTGCTAGCAAGAGTAGGAGGAGCGCACGGTTCATCCATGTATTCATGACCATTCCCATGCGGCTCACTGGGGGAGCTTACTTCATAGGAAGTTCTAACAAGGTGATTAGCTCTGTCAGGGTTTGTTTGACGCTACAAATGGGGCTCTGTCCTGGAAAGTTAAGGCCTTCAAAAGCTGTGAACCTTTCCCTTCAAAGTTTTTTGCTCAGAGCTAGTGAAAATGATTAAATTTAAACGGCAGAATGGATGCTTTTCTGCAAACTTGCATTAAATTCATATAAACAGGCTACATTTTTCAGAAGTTTTAAGGCTAGTTTTCAACCTGCAGTGTTGCGAAAGGTTACTTTGGAAATGTAATAAGTTACAAATTACTGGTTGCCATGTTTAAAAGCAATCAACGACTGTATGTTGCTTAAATTACGTGTCATGGGAATGATCTGTTTTTTTGTGCTTCTATATTAGCAGCTCTTAAACCTACAGTTTTGAAAACCGGGTTTAAACTAAATGCTCACCAACTGCTGCTGAATAAAAACAGGTACACATTTTTGACTGTGTCTATGTGCTCAAGTCAGAATCTTTGTTGTTGTTGCTGTGATACAATGTCTTTTTGTTACTTGTATTTGCTGGAGTCAGTGGTGCATTATGACACAGAC